CTAGTCACCCCCCCACTGTGTCACTAGTCGCCCCCTCACTGTCACTAGTCACCCCCTCACTGTCACTAGTAACGCCCCCACTGTCACTAGTAACGCCCCCACTGTCACTAGTAACCCCCCACTGTCACTAGTTACCCCCCACTGTCACTAGTTACCCCCCACTGTGTCACTAGTTACCCCCCACTGTGTCACTAGTCACCCACCCACTGTGTCACTAGTCACCCCCTCACTGTGTCACTAGGCACCCCCTCACTGTGTCACTAGTCACCCCCCCACTGTGTCACTAGTCCCACCCTCCCTCACTCTGTCACTAGTCACCCCTTCCCTCACTCACTCTGTCACCCCTTCCCTCCCTCACTCTGTCTCTAGTCACCCCCTCCCTCACTCTGTCACTAGTCACCCCCTCCCTCTGTCAATGGTCATCCCCTCCCTCTGTCAGTGGTCATCCCCTCCCTCACTCTGTCACTAGTCACCCACTCACTCTAGTGAGAGAGTGAGAGAGTGAGGGAGAGGGTGACTGGTGACAAAACGAAGGAGGGAATGACTAGTGACGGAGGGATGGGGTGACACAATGACAGAGGGAGGGATGGGGTGACACAGTGACAGAGGGAGGGGGTGACTAGTGACAGAGGGAGGGATGGGGTGACTAGTGACAGTAACCACCTCCCTCCCTCTGTCACTAGTCACCCCCTCCCTCATTCTGTCACTAGTCACCCTCACTCTGTCACTAGTCACCCATTCCCTCCCTCACTCTGTCACTAATCACTCCCTCACTCTGTCACTAGTCACTCCCTTACTCTGTCACTAGTCACACCCTCCCTCACTCTGTCACTAGTCACACCCTCCCTCACTCTGTCACTAGAGTGAGGGAATGACTGGTGACAGAGTGAGGGAATGACTGGTGACAGAGTGAGGGAAGGAAGGGGTGACTGGTGACAGAGTGAGCAGATGACTGGTGACAGAGGGACGGGATGACTGGTGACCGAGTGAGGGAGGGGGTGACTAGTGACAGAAGGAGGGACTAGTGACAGAGGGAGGTGGTGACTAGTGACAGAGTGAGGGAGGTGGTGACTAGTGACAGTCACCACCTCCTTCACTCTGTCACTAGTCACCCCTTCCTTCCCTTACTCTGCCACTAGTCACCCCTTCCCTCACTCTGTCACCCCCTCACTCTGTCACTAGTCACCCCCTCACTCTAGTGACAGGGAGAGGGAGGGTGTGACTAGTGACAGAGAGAGGGAAGAGGTGACTAGTGACAGAGTGAGGGAGGTGGTGATTAGTGACAGAGGGAGGGATGGGGTGACTAGTGACAGTCACCACCTCCTTCACTCTGTCACGTCACCTCCTTCCTCACTCTGTCACCCCTTCCTTTCCTTACTCTGTCACTAGTCACCCCCTCGCTCTAGTGACAGAGTGATGGAGGGTGTGTCCAGTGACACAGAGAGGGAGGGGGTGACTAGTGACAGTGGGGAAGGGGGTGACTAGTGACAGAGGGAGGAGTGACTAGGGACAGAGTGAGGGAGGTGGTGACTAGTGACAGTCACCACCTCCCTCACTCTGTCACCAGTCATCCCCTCACTCTGTCACCAGTCATCCCCTCACTCTGCCACTAGTCACCCCTTCCCTCACTCTGTCACCTGTCAGCCCCTCACTCTAGTGACAGAGTGAGGGACGGTGTGACTAGTGACAGAGAGATGGAGGGTGTGACTAGTGACAGAGTGAGGGAGGGTGTGACTAGTGACAGAGAGAGGGAGGGGGTGACTAGTGACAGAGTGAGGCGGGGAAAGGGTGACTAGTGACAGAGTGAGGGAGGTTGTGATTAGTGACAGAGGGAGGGATGGGGTGACTAGTGACAGTCACCCCCTCCCTCACTCTGTCATTGTGTCACCCCCTCCCTCACTCTGTCATTGGGTCACCCCCTCCCTCACTCTGTCACTAGTCACCCCCTCTCTCACTCTGTCACTAGTCACCCCCTCTCTTACTCTGTCACTAGTCATCCCCTTTCTTACTGTCACTAGTCCCAACCTCCCTCACTCTGTCACTAGAGTGAGGGTGTGACTAGTGACAGAGTGAGGGCGTGACAGGTGACAGAGGGAGGGGATGACTGTTGACAGAGTGAGGGAGGGGGTAACTAGTGACAGAGTAAGGGACAGAGGGGGTGACTAGTGGCAGAAGGAGGGAGGGAGTAGTGACAGAGGGAGGTGGTGACTAGTGACAGAGTGAGGGAGGTGGTGACTAGTGACAGAGAGGGAGGTGGTGACTAGTGACAGAGAGGGAGGTGGTGACTAGTGACAGAGAGAGGGATGGGGTGACTAGTGAGAGTAAGGAAGGGGGTGACTAGGGACAGAGGGGGTGATTAGTGACAGAGTGAGTGAGGGGGGTGACTAGTGACAGAGTGAGTGAGGGGGTGACACAGTGACAGAGTTAGGGAGGGAGTGACTAGTGACAGAGAGAGGGATGGGGTGACTAGTGACACTCACCCCCTCCCTCACGCTGTCACTAGTCACTACCTCACCGTGTCACTAGTCACCAACTCACTCTGTCGCCAGTCATCCCTTCACTCTGTCACCAGTCACCTCTTCCCTCCCTCACTTTGCCACTAGTCATCTCTTCCCTCCCTTCCTCACTCTGCCACTAGTCACCCATTCCCTAATTCTGTCACTAGTCACCCCCTCCCCCTCCCTCTGTCACTAGTCACCCACTCCCTCACTCTGTCACCAGTCACCCCCACTCACTGTGTCTCCCCCTCACTCAGCCACCACTCAACCCCTCCCTCCCTCACTCTGCCACCAGGTACCCCCTCACTCTGCCACCTGTCACAACCTCCCACACTCTTCCACCTGTCACCTTCTCCCTCACACACTCTGTCACCTGTCACATATGCATTCACACAGACACTATATACAAAAAAGCACATGTAGTCATCCAGACATGCACAAGTGCATTCACACAGACTCAAATACAAACATGCATTGATACACAGGTCTCCACAATATACACATTCAAAGGAATGCCGTATTATGAGTTATATTTAACATTTATTTAATGCACATATATTTGGCCTTCAAAGGGCCTGGGATCTAATTTTGCCCGGGGGCCCCAAAGGCTCTCAGTCCACCCATGCATAGGACACAAGGTGTTTTCTTTTACACAAAAGTTTTCTTTTACAGTAAGAACAATAAGGATGTGGAATTCTCTGCTTGAAGAGGTGAATTTATTAGTCTGTATAGATGTTTCAACAGCAACTAGATGAATAAAGCATTAAATACTTGCAAAAACACAAGGATATAATTTTCAATTTGTGGGGTAACAGCTTTTTGATTCAATGAGAGATCTGACTACCATTCTGAGGTCAAGAAGGAGTTTTTTCCCCCTAGTTTGTTGAAAATAGAAAGCACTTGAAATGGGGCATTTGCCTTCTTTTGGATCAACAACAAAAGCAGATGTCTCTTTTCAGTTATGTAACTATGTAACTTTCTCTCTATTTTAATATACACACCAAATATTTATTCTTAAAACTATACCAATCTTTTCTCAGCGTTATTCTTTGTGATGTTTCTACGTACAGTCAGGGAAAAAAGTATTTGATCCCCTGCTGATTTTGAACATTTGCCCACTGATAAAGAAATGATCAGTCTGTAATTTTATAACATGACAGGAGGCTTCGTATTTGCTAGAACTTTACAGGAGCACAGAAAAACAACCAATCAAAAAAAAGTTACTATAAAACTCCCCTCCTCATGCATCATTTCCTCTTTCTTTGCTGCTCTGCAGTCAGTACAGGTCAGAGTACCACTGCCTCCTGCTTATAGTGGGTGGCTTTGGGATTTTATTGCTTATATTCAGTATTTTAGCCTTATAAATGCAGTATTGTTATAATCCTTGTATGATTTTATTCCTGTATGCTGTATTGTTATAATCCATGTGGGATTTTATTTTTATATGCAGTATTGTTATAATCCATGTGGGATTTTATTTTTATAATGCAGTATTGTTATAGTCCATGTGGGATTTTATTTTTATAATGCAGTATTGTTATAGTCCATGTGGGATTTTATTCTTATAATGCAGTATTGTTATAGTCCATGTGGGATTTTATTCTTATAATGCAGTTTTGTTATAATCCTTGAGGATTTTATTTTTATAATACAATATTGTTATGTTCCTTGTGGGATTTATTTCTTCATTTTCAGTATTTTTTTTTTCCCTTGTAGGATTTTTATGCTTTTATATTGAATATCTTTTCAGAATTTTTTATTTAGGCCTTGTGGGATTCATTTTATATGCGGTATTACCTTGGCCATGTGTAAATTTTCCTTACACATGCAGTTTTGTTAAAACCCCTGTGGGACTTTATTTTTACTTGAAACTTCAGGCCATTACTGTTATATACATATTTAGTTTGGATTTCTGGGGGGTCTTTGGGGTCCTCCTGTCCCCTCTATCCCCTTGGCCTTGTCCCCCCTGTCCGTCTCCCAACTTTGTGTATGCTCGTTGTTATATTTTTTGTTCCGCCTTTGTCCTTAGGTCTGGCGGTGTCTGTGTGCACCGCTCGGGGGCTTCAGGAGGCTGACTGCATCTGCCTCCTTCGATCCCCAAGCTCCGGGACCGCAGAGTTCATCTTCGGTTGTCCTGTGTGTGTTTTTTCTGGTCGCAGGGGAGCTCGAGAGGAGCACCTGGCGGCCGGATCTCCTTTCCCACGTGGCCGCTTCGCCACGCTCGCCTCCGCCCACGGACCGCGTGTGTCTGACCGGGCGGGGGAGGTTGCGACCGCTCGCAGCCCCTCCCCCGTCTGTTTCTAACTGGTTGGAGGTCTGTTTGAGGGGCTTTCCTCCCCTCTGTCAATCAAGGCCGGATTCCGATCACTGCCGGAGTTTTTTATATCATATATCATCCTGAACCCCGCGCGCGTTCACGGGATCCAGGTGGTCAGTTGGTAGTTTCCTTCATTGTTTCCGAAGGTTGCATTTTCGCACCATCCCTTTCTGTTATTAAGAATGGACACTGCCCGAGGTTGTATACTATCCCATCTGCCATCGGTCTGGTTTACTACCAGTTGATTCCTTTTCAGGTGAGCGATTCAGAGAGAGGTCTTGTGGTCGGGGAGAGACCCACCTAAGGACCTCAGTCTTATGCTGATATTAGTAATTGGTGTACCCCTGCAGTTGGTCACCCTGAGTCTAATTTGGATCACAAGAGGGTGCGGCCCTCCATCACCTCGATCCAAAAATTATATTTTATTTTCAGGAACAGAGAGCGAACCCCTCTCATATACAGAACCGGACACTGATTTGTTATTAGAGGGCGCGGCCCTCCCTCAACCTCAGCCCGATACTGAGCGGGATACAGAGGACATGTTTGGAGTGACACATTCTCATAGAGAGAACCAGTCACGAATGCAGACTCTACTGTTTGGTTATTAACGGGTGTGGCCCGCTCAGGCTATCAGCCGGACGCTGACACGGAATTCGGTCACATTATTAGAGAGCGCGGCTCTCTCATACACTCAACGCTCTACGGTACCGTCCATTTGTTCATCACACAGGCTTGTACCTGTACAAGACCTTGATGACTGCATAGAGGGGCGTCCCTCCTGCATTCAATTAGATCTAACGACCGTGCTACTGATTTCGTTATAGAGGGCTGCCTGATCATGCAGGATATACATATTTAGACTGGATCCCTTTATTTTATCTCCTGTAATCGATCTACTGGATCCGGACCACTGTACCACACGCGAGAAATACTTACAGAGGTATAACGGGGGGAGACTCCCACTTATTTACACACACTCCTGGAGATGGTACGGTTAACGGGTGAGCCTCAGGTATTACAAGAGTGCAGGTTTTGGTATATTCTGCGCTATATAAAACAGAGAATTGCATTCTGTTTTCTGATATCCGGACCATTGCGAACAAACTGCGCAGACCGTTTTCCCATATCAAGATGACATGAGATACGGAGACCTTCATGGGGCAAACAGGCACTGCCTTGCTCGAGTAACAAGACTAGGGAAGGCCTACTACCCGGTCTGAAAGTACACCATATGCATGCCCCCACTCCTCTGAGCACATACCTGGAGAACATGGTTCGGAGATGGAGGGTCCTCCGTCTATACTCTATATATCCCTCACGGGAGCCGTTTTGGTTTGGGTTCGCACTAACCCATCTTTTCAACTACCATCAAGGAGACCTGCGAGACTCTATAGAGGAACCTGGTGTGCCCCGACTCTTACACAGACGTCAAAGTCGGATCACAACCTACCACTGGAGTACTGCTCAGGATGTGTAGCAGACTCATAGGAGTGCGCAGCCTATTG